GAGGTGTTGGCGCCAGGGACCCTGCGTGTCCTCCGGGCCGGCGGGTACCGCCGTGGTCTGCCTGGAGCCAGGCGCCGCGTGGGCGGGAGGCACGACCATCTCGGAGCCATGTCACTCATTTGTGGCCGAGGCCGAGGCCAGCCCTGTCCTCAGGGGTCTGCGCTGGTGAAATGGGGCTGACACAGCCCTTCCCACCCAAGACACATCCTGCCTAGAGCTGGTTCCCTTCCTCGGGAACTCGGCCTGCCCCTGAGGACCGTCTGCCCGCAGAGGCGCTGGGCTCCGGCTGCGGGTGTTGGGGTGACCATGCCCCGTGCCTGGACCTGATCCCAGCACCAGTGACCCTGCTTCCCAGAACCGGGCCGCCCACGCTTCCCTTTCCCGCCTTTGTCATCCTGTCCTCCAGGGGCTCAGGTGGCCGTGTTTCCTGTGGTCGCGTTTCCGCGGTGCGTGTCGAGTCCGCTCCGCGTCCCCCGGAGCTGGGGGCTTTCTCGGGCCAAGCACTCCCTCGTCACCGTCATCCCCTCCAGCTCACACGGGGACAGGCAAGGCGGCCCTGCTCTCAGCTGTCGGGGCGAGGCAGGCGGGCGTCCCTTACAGCCTGGTGAGGCCTGAGCAGGCGGCCAGGGCCTCAGGGCTCACGGGAGGGAGGCCAGCAGGGAGCAGGGTGCCTGTGAGGGGACCCTGCCCGGACCCCGTGGCATCTGAGCGGGACTGGAGGGCTACGGGAGAAGGGCAGGAAGGAAACCGGCCTCCAGAGCCCTGTTGGGGGGTCGTGAAGGGTGGTAGGCAAGGGCTGTGTATCTGGAGCCAGGGAAGGCATTTAGACTTGCCCCGAGGGCAATGGGGGTCAGAGGGTTTTACTTTTTTTTCCCTTATTTTTTGTTAAAGGGTGCATGTGCTCACCAGAGAGACAGAGAAAGTGAGCTGTCACTCCCCCCCAGGGGTTTTGGCCACACTGCAGTCCCTTCTCCTCCACTCTCCTCTTGGGGTTTTGGGTCCTAGCGTGAGTCTCGAGCTGCCAGGGCTGGACTCGAGCCGTGGAGTTGGCCATGTGGGATCCAGTGCCTTAAGCTCTGTGCCATCTACTGGCCCAAGGGAGTCAGAGTTAGTCAGAGGGGTCCGTTTGCAGTTTAGGAAGTCCACCCTGGCTGCCTGGTGGCAGTAGGAGGGGTAGGGCGGGGCAGCCGTGGCATGGACTGCCCAGGCCCGGCGGTGGGCCGACCTGGCAGTGGGGACGGGCTCCGGGGGGCAGACTTGATGTCCTCCTTCGGGGAAGATGTGTCCTGCTCTCACCTCCGCTGGACAGATGGGGACACTGGCTCGGGGTAATACTATGTGCCCGTGTCTGGGGAGGGGACAGGTTGGCCTAGAGGCTCGGGTCCGTCCGCTCCCGTTCCCACTGCCCATGGCGCTCTGGGGTGTGGAGGAGCGCTCGGGGGAGGGCGCAGCCGGCAAGGAGCCCAGGCTGCCTCCCCAGCACCGAGCACTCCTGGACGGCTCCGGGCCGGCGGTGCGGGCGTCTGCCGAGATGATCTGGCAGCTGCGTGGAGGCTGGCTCTGTGGGAAGTGAGACTGGGGGCGGTGGCCAGCTCGGAGGCTCACTGCTCCAGATGGGACTTGGGGCCTCGACTAGCGCTGCAGGGGGCCG